AAGTAAAAAGTCATTCACTGGGAAATAACAAAAAAGCATATTTGAGTAAAATTCGTAATTTCTGCCTTAATAGTTAATAATATTGCTATTGAACTCATATTCAAGTCAATTTTGATAAGAACTACTGACAAAATCGAGATCCGCAAGATGACCTTAGGATTGTAAAGCCAGAACACGCTGTATACGAAACAGATAAAACAGAGATTCGCTTAATTTTTTCCATACTTTGTAATTCAACTGATACATTCAACCGGCGTGCAATTTTCTTGCCAATCCTTGTGAGTTCATCGTCAGCAGTTTCCAAAATTGCTTCCTCTGTTGCGGAATAGTCTAGCTCACCCCGTCTTCCATCATGTTCTTGTAATTGTCCAGCATCTAAAGGTTGTTCTACAAACAAATTTCCGAGAGGTGGAACAGATCACCTCGAAAAATGCTGCTTATATTTGCGATGCTTATGCAACGTTTTGTTGACATTCACCGTAGACTAACGCTTATCAACAAGTTCATTATTCACACAAATGTGGCATTTTGTAATAATTATGGCTAACTTGATCCAAGTAGGTGAGTTTTGTTACTTGTTACTGTCATTAAAATGTTTTATCAAGTAAGTTTTTCGAAAAAAAACAAAACCTTCACTTGTCAGTGACACCCTATATATCTGACGCGTATATGAGGAAACTCTCGATTGGATTTCGTCCTGAAGAATGCTTTAAGGACCATCTACATAGCCGATACACGGTATCGATCACCCCGAGCGAGATGGTCCCGACTCCGGGCTCTCGCAAATATTCCGGGCGATACACGGCGCATCAATCACGGCTTAAAGTGACCTGTCAGCAGGATCCCCGTCCTCGGCTCCTGTAAATAATTCCCTCTCCGGCGGTGAGAGAGGACACGTTGTTAGCTAATATGTTATATTTTTATCGTCGTGTCAAGCGGCTCTCCTGACTCCATCGCGGCACTCTTGATTCCGCAGAAAAAGCCAGATAAATCGGGGGGAGGCGGTCATTGTTTTGTCTTTCGTGGTTTTAACAGGCGCGGGGGCGGATCCGAGAGATTTCCCACCAGAAGAATAAACAATTTCCATTAAGCAGTCTAAAATCTCATATTTTCAAGACAAAAAAATTGTTTAACTAATAAAACAGAAAATGTTGAAGTCGTAGCAATTTCACGGATGTCGCTTGGTAATGTTTACTTTAAAATACTTTTTTAATGGTCTCTCGGTTAGAAACTGTTAAAATACTGCTGACACTGAAATTATTTAAAGAATAATAGAAATAAACTGCAACACATTATTTCTAGGATGCAATAAGTACGACTCTAAGTGACAGTGAAAATTTTCCGTCACGCATTCCATTACTGCAGGCATCTGTGTAATTTTATTTCGTTTCATACTTCCCCAAACGAAAAACATAGTTGATTAATTGGGACGATGCAAAGTCGGCCTAAGTTTCACGTATAATATTTCATCTATTATTTTTATCATTAAATCATTAAATCACCGTGTAGATTCCAAAACGAGTGTATATTTGATTCAATAAAAAGATTTGTGTAAGTTATATGTACAGGGTGTCCCACTTAACTTTCCCACCCCACTTAGGTACCTCGGTTAGTTTTGCAGATATAAAAATTTTGTTGAATTAAAAGTTGTAGTGTTTTTTATGAAGTTTCTGTTTCTAGCAACAAAAAAACAATTCAAATTCAATGTCGATGTTTGTTTCGAAGTTTTGCTAAAAATTCCACAGCTATTCTCGCAAGAAATTACAGGATTTTAGGTGATTACACAAAAAATAGTAGATAACTTGAAAACTAGAAGAGATAGGTATAGGGGAACACTGATACCGTTCGAAAAAGAATAAAATTGTGTATCAGAATATAGAAAAACATACAGGGTGTTCCATTTAAAAAAAAACGACTTATGAAGGTTTGAAATTAACTAAACTCGGCATTAAATTTCTAGCACCCTGTATGCAATTAAACCACTTTGAAAGTATGGATGGGAAGCTTAGGGGTCTAGCTATCCCCCCATAAATATTGTTGCTTTATCTATCTTACTATAAAATACACATGGTTTGAAGCTAGTCACTGTTTCTCTCCATGTTTTTTTTTTTTAATTAAATATCTCGAAAACGGTTAATTTTAGGAATAGGGAAACTTCATAAAAGTCCACCTAAAATAACACGTAGAATCCAAAATTGCAATAACATATAGTGTTCCATTTAAAATAAGCAAGTTGATGGCGACTTCCGGTATAACCGGAAGTGGTACGTGGACGCCATTATTATCTCAAATTTTCAAAATTCAAATCGAAGTAGTCTCTGAAATAATTCTAATGGGCCGTCACCGTGAAACACCCTGTATACTTTATTTTTTAAATAACCCCTTAACAAAAAATCCAGTGGACTAAGATCTAGACTACGGGAAGGCCACAATGTATTACCTCATCTACCATATCCACTTCGTGAAATTGTTATTTAAAAAGTTGACTTCTCCAGTATTATATGACGTGCACCTCCGCCTTGTTGTCAGATTATTATTCAGGTGGTTTAATGGCATTTCTAACAGAAACTCGTCTATTTCGTTTTGTGGAAACTCTAAGTATCTTCTGCCTTAGACTTCCATAAAAAATATATGTGTTGAGGATCCCACACCAGACATTTACCGTCCTTCTTTCCTGAAATTGAATTTCTTTCACAAAATGAGGGTTTCCGTGAGACCATATATAGCTGTTTTTCCTATTAAATATGCCAGCTGTTGTGAATGTTGCCTAATGCGACCAAAAATTTGTTTTGATATACGTGGGTCATTGTTATTTTATCCATCACTTCCTGGCAAAATGTTACCCTTTGATTGTTATCATTTAATGTTAATTTTGGACGGACATTACTTTAAAGGGTTTTAAATTATCCTTTTTAAGAACTCTTTGTATGCATGATTTAGAAATACCAAAATCGGTAGCGGCGTCGATTATGGAGAACATAGGATTTTCTTGGAAATATAAAAGAATATTTAACTCCATTTCTTTATTATTATTAATATTTGTAGTCCGCTTTTTGTCTTCCAATGTATGAAAATGTATGAACTTACGTGCCATATTCAAGAAAGTTTTAATAATAATAATAATCTTTATTTTCTATAGATTTACCTACTGTAAATGTGAGAAATTGTCAAGCGTAACTGTAAATATTATTACAGACAATATATAAAACAAGTAATTAAATACAACTATTAAAAAATAAAAATAAATAAATAATAGTATACAGTGTAGGAAAGTACCGATGGTCTATCAGAAGTTACGTGAGAGCGATAAAGTAAGCCATAGAAATCCATGTGATAGACAAGGATGGCTATAATGAAGGCGTCTAATAGTCAACGCCCATTTCGCCCTTCCACAAATAAGATCCACTTCTTATTAATACTTTAATAATTTCTTTACTTCGAATTTAAAAGGTATAATATTTGAAATATCTCGGATATCGTGAGGCAGATGTTTATATAATCCTTTTCTAATTCTTATAATTATTTATTTTTTTCGGCGATTATAATGTAATTATAATTATTTTCCTTGACGAGGTGTGCCTGTCAGGATACTTGTTTATTTTATTATTGTTGTTATTAAAATAAATATTCTTCGAAAATATTACTGTTATTCTTTGGTATAATGCACATTTCCCACTTTAATTTACCGAAAATTAATTTACAACCGTGTTTAGTATCATTTTAGTTGTCATAAACGTCAATTGAAATCAAAATATCAATAAAATCATGGCAATCTTGAATATGCAATATGCGGTTTTCATTTATGCGATTAAATGCAAAGATGTCAAAAACTGTCAAAAATAAGTGCCACATATGTTGTATATTTTTGTTCACAATCAAATTTTACATCTAAAAATGTAATAATTTATAGGGTGTTCTATTTAAAACATAATAAGTTGTATCTGTCACATCGACATTTAAATTTGAATTGTTTTTTTTGTTGCTACAAACATAAACTTCATAAAAAACACTACAACTTTTATTTCAACAAAATTTTTATATCTGCAAAACTAACCGACATATAAGTGGGGTGGGAAAATTAAGTGGGACACCCTATACTTTCAAGTCTTTGCTAGAGACGAACTTGATACAATAAGAACTGATAATTTGACACCAGTATCCAGAAGATATCAAGATATTGCATCGTATGTAATTCATGTTGATACATGCAAGCATTTGTGAAGCCTATTCAAAACATCCGACTAGCCTGAAATAGGAATATCTGGTCCAGGATCACATAGATGGCAATTCATAAAATTCGGAAAATAAAACGCTTTCGCCAAACCCCATGGCGCTATAAAATACCTGCGAAACCTAATTAACTATAAATCAAGGAAAACACACCACCCATCAATCCATCAAAAAATAATAAAACATCCAAATTCAACTACACCGAAAGCGCATCAAAACCGAAACCAATAAATAACGGGGGCATATTGACATCACCCCATTGCTCAATAATGATATTCAGCCGACTGGGCGGGTCGAAACATCACGGGCGTCGACGCTCTCCGCCAATCCGAATGGCGGGAATTATTAGCGGGCGCTCGAAACGCCTTCGCCAGCGTTCATGCCTGGAAGAGTTTAGTAAACCCACAGCAAGCTCTGGCGCAGCACACATCAGTGTAAACTACAATTGTTACACACATGTGGACTTGCCCGCGATCAGTGTTGTGTGAAAATTGTGTGGAACCAATCAGAAACAACTCTATTTGGTTGTAGTCGAGGCTATCGAACACCTTCCTTGAAACAGTTCGGAAAAAAAGGAATGACTGTTATCATCACCGATCACCAACTCAACAGGAAAAAGTGTTAAGCCGAGCAGCTGGAAGAAGACAGAAGCGCGCGGTGGAAGAAGACAAAAACCAAACGTTCGCGCGAAATGCTGTGTGTGTGCTGAAGTGTACGGATGAGTGACGTTTGCGAGTCCTAAGGGACAGAACAACAAAGTGGGTGACAAAATGGTACTTGAATCCGGGGTGCTGCCCCCTCCGCTCCAGCTGTATGCTGCGGCGGCGGCCCATCTGGCCCCCAGGCCGCCCTGGGCCCCCTTACTTCAGTTCCCGGGGGCGGCACAGCTGCTGGGGATGCACGGGGCCTTTTCCCCTTTGAACAGGCCCAGGTACCCCCACGGGCTGGGTCCCGGGATGAGAGCGCCTCCAGGACCTCCCTCCGAGGACAGCGGCAGCGAAACTCACGGTAAAGGTAGGTTAGATCTAAGGCAGATTTAGCGAGAACGCATCATAATCATGTCTAAAGAAAAAGATAAATTCTTCATGTAATACAGTTCAAATACAAATCAGGACATTGTGGAGGAAGCTCCATCAAAATTAGCAGCATTTTCAGAATCGACTAAAGTCCAAATTGTAATTAAAAACTGGGCTAAACTATTTAATAGAACAACTCCATCGAAATTACTAACGTTGACAGGCTTAACTAAAGTAGAACATACCTACAAAGGAATTAAAAGCCAAACTAAACGTTTAACAACAAATAAAAGACTAGTCCAGGTCTACGAACAATTTCCACGTACCACGAAACGAAAACCTGATGCAAATACAAAAACATTTGCCCGTAAACAAAAACAAACGTTATTAAAATGTCCACATCAGAAAATGGTAATTCGATTTCAGTCTTTCAAAGAATGTCAAAGATGCAAAACCGTTAACACCGTTTGTCCTGAACTTGATTTCAATTTTGCACTAGGTACGTGTCTGTTTACAAAATAACCCTGCCTAGGTACCTAGGGCATATTGAAATCGTTTGGATGCAGCATAAAATTAAAAACATATACCTACCTAAGTTCTAAGTTAGTCATAGATGTAGGTATAAGTAGGTATTTGAAATTATTGTTCAATATTTTATGCTTAGATTTGGAAGAAACTCAGAAATAAAGTTTACATTGATTTATATCTATGTATTGACTGATTGTTTTGAATTTTAATGTGAAACCTGGATTGAGATAGATTTTTTTTTGGAGGGCGATGATATTCCAAAGTAAAACGGCAATAGAAATTTTGACATGCTTCTTAGGCACATATTTCTGAATTTGAAGAAATAAGAGGCTGAAGGAAGACATTTTCCAAGATGAGTAGGTATCTAAAGAATACGTCTTTTGAGAGAGAAAATAAACGATGATGCTGGATTCCGAAGTTTTTTAAAAATGACACTCGGATTTCGATGCCTTAATTAAAAAGATCGGTTTATTTATGCGCATAGAAAATACATGGTTTAGAAATGCAATACTTTGATTTTGTCCGTGTTTGTGAACAAACAGCTCCACACAGGTTGTTTGCGGGTAAATGTTTGTAATTAAAACTTTTGAAAACGAAAAACACAGATGCACTTGTATATGGGTACTAAATATTTCTGGACACGTTCATAAACAGTTTTTACGCATGTTTTTGTACCTTTGCGGGCAAAAGTATGTGAGATCTGCACTAAATTTTGAGGACTATAAAGAAAAATTAGCTCTTAAGAAAATATTATCTAGCTATCAAGAAAATATTAGGTATCTAAAACCACCAAAATCAACTTCAATGACTTGTACGCCAAGATGGTGGTTCCGTCGGCAACTGCCATAAAAAAATTCCCTTTTTCAAGTAAAAATTTTCCAAAACTCATCTATTTTGATAACACAATGAAAGATGTATCTACTCACTGTCCAGAATTATTAAAGATTAGTTATATGACCCAACAACAACATTGTTACATTATTTCGTCCAAAAACGTTTATTAAAACCATTGCATCTGAAAAAATATTAAAAGGAAATGTCAAAACCCACCAAAAACAAATAGGTACAATAAAACTCCATGAGGAATCATTTCCAAATTGCGGCCAATAATTATTGTCTACCAAAGAAACTTTTGAAAAGTATTTTCCATCTAGGCTTGTATTTAAGTATCTAAGGTACCGAACTAAATACTGTTATTCAATTTCTACCCATTTGTAGATATGCGTATGTGTATTTTGGACCATGATATCAGATTATTATTTCAGACTTTGAAAAGATACCAAATAGCCAATTGTCAAATGTTAAAATTACAAGTTATTAAAATTTTATTTACAATTTCTGGAAGCTTAACACTTAGTAACAGTTCTCTTACAAGAGTCAAACAATGAGGAAAATATGAAATATAGAACTGATAACCTTGTAAATTATGTAATATTAGGTAAAACTATTCCAAAATGATTGATTATAGTTACATGTTACATATCTGAATCTACTTATACAGATGTTTTTATTTTATTTGCAGTAGCCTATAATTCAGAATAGTACCACACACAATATAGTTTATCGCTGGCTATATTGTCTATGGTATTTAGTATTATCCTAGCAAGAAGAAATACATAAAATATTCAGGCAAAATGCAGAAAAATCGATGTTATTTCAAACTAGAAATCTTAAAAACCGCTGAAACTGTAAATAATAATGATTCAATATTGTATAGTTGTTACGATATCAATTGGAACCTGTAAATGTTAAAGCACTGGACCGTCTGCACTTCTCTTTAAATTTCTTCCTATGCTTTAGCCATGATGTGTCTCGTAATTTATACTCGAATTGGGCGAGTCCGGTATTGCTAGACCAATCCGCCTGATGTAGAATCAACGGCGACGCGCTGGTCGCAAAGCAAACCTGTATTGGTCGACTAGGTCGTAAATAATTTTTGGCATGGTATTCTATAATTACTTTGGTGTCAAACTCGGTTCACTTGGCTTTGTCAGTGCCGTAGAGAGCAGTGCTTGAGGTGGTATATTTATTGTTGGTATAGGTAATACGTATTATTAATTATTAGTTAATTAATATTAATATTTGTTCATATCGTAACCAGTAAAGGATAATAGTTATTAAAATAAATATTATATGTAAGTATCTAATAATTTAGCATGGCTTTAAGAAATTAGGAAATTAAAGAAGGAGATGTTATTAACCACGGTACGAAGAAGAAACGGAAAAATACAAAATTAAAGAATATTTACGATTTTACCAGAGGCGCACAATTTATATGTATGTATAAAGAAAAAAAATTTCCTACGTTAAACATGATTCGAGATAAATGAAGCGATTATCCTGATTATAAATATAAATCTTTAGATACTTTACGACATGTTTTATTACAATGCGGTTTTAAACATAAAAAACTTGACAATCGTATGGTAATTATGGAATCATGCCGTACAGTTGCACTTCGGGAAGATTATTTACAAAAAATTCGAGAATATCGTCAACTAAATAGGAATATAGCTCGGAATATAGTATTTCTAAACGAGACAGGACAAATTTTTTCTGGACGCCTATGGATTCCGTAGAGTTTATCAGTTAAATGTTTCTATGCGGTTCCAATCTTCATCTAAGTTCACTCTTTCCGTAGGTATATCATTGCAATAAATGAAAAGTGTCAATGTCTTTTTAAAGAAGAGGTAAATTTATTTTATTTTAATTTCAGTAAGGATGCCGATGTAAACAAATACAATTAGGTATTTTTACATACATTTATTCACATAACTACTACATTTTAGAAATAAACAATTAATAATATTAAGTATCCTTAATGATCTTTTTATAATAATCTCAAAAAGAGTCATCAAGTTCATCAACAAGTACATTTAAAAAAGAATAAACGTTAATTATTTGTCGTCGAATGGGTCCCTTCACCTGGCAGCATAAAACAAACAAAAAACCACTTAAAAGATTATTCTACGGTGTGACATTAATATAATTTACTGACGTGCAAGCATTAATGCGACGTAATTAATATAAAAGCCGTCGCATCGCGGTGTACGTGAGCGAAAATAAATTAAATAATTATGTGCCCCCCCGGTGAATATTACTCTTTCACTTTTTACCGAGCAGATTTACTACCTTTTACACCTGGCATATTACAAAATATGTCAATTCCATGTCAGTGCACAATAGGTCCAATTCTCCATCTCTGCGAGTAGAAGTTGGAAAAAAGTCGAGTGGGGTTGAATATGGACTCCTAACTGGCTATACTGGTATAAATCCAGTTAATTCGAAATATATTTAAAAAATCATAATCATTTAAAATTTCTATTCTAAATGCTATAACGTTCTGCAATAGAATGTGCTTTAAGGCTGGAATTTAATAGACAACAAATCGCACTTGTTGTAAGACAACGAGAGAACAAGAAAAATGTTGAAATACAACAATACGCGTTGTGGTAGCAGAAATAGACCAAATCTGTGGTCAAGCCGTGTTTCAGTCTATGCGGCTGACTGCCATAAAAACACGTGCCATACACTCGGTCAAGCAAAGCGTCAAACTCCCACACGCGCGAGCGACAATGAAATGCACGGCGAACTCCCTCAGCAAAAAAACTGGCACGCCAGGCCGAAAGGGCAGGCATTAGACTGCTGCTAGATACGTATCGAATAAATTGATCGATGCGAAGCTTCAAATCAGATTCATATACATATTATGGAACGGATATAGTGGGATTACTAAAATGCGAATTAGTAAAAATAGCATCTATTAAAAACTTCGACTATTTTAGATATGCGCCTACGATCTCGGTAAATGTAGAACGGGCATTTTCGTTTTTGAAATATGTATTTACTTATCGCCGGAGACGATTAATTGCGAGAACCGTTAATTATTTTTCTACAATCGTCTTCCTTATGAGTAAGAAATTATTATTTTGTTACATTTTGCTGGTACTTATTATTATGTTCTGTACCCATTATTTTGTGGTAAGTTCCATGTGAAGCGTTTACTGCAGAAAAATAGACTCTGCCCCTATTTGTCTAATAAGGATATGCAAATACTTACATACGTACTCTTATAATGTAAACAGTCCAGTTATAAGGAAGCAACAGTTGTGTCACTTTTTGTTTGAATAAAATTACACAAAAGAAAACCCGGCCTAACATTTCCGATCTCTAGTAATGATACACATAAGAAGTAAAAATATGTTTTTCCCTTATTCTGAATGTATTGTCAACTTGTAGGGTATCTTTTTAGGCATTACATTATTTAGGAATAGGAATGCTAGTTTTTGAATCATTTTATATGCTATACTTATGTGTTAATCTAAAAAAAAAGTGGAAATATTATTTTTGGAAAACTGTTATCGACAGTGTAATTGTTTAAGTTGTTATTGGCAAGTTCCGTAGGCTTTGCTGAAAATGATAACAATTTATTTGCGATTGAAGTTTTATATTGTATGAAAGCTTCTACAA